CATTGAAGTACAAATTGCCTTTTCTCTACAGAAGATCAGATGTGCCAGAATAATCGTTCGAAAGTTCATTGCCTTCTCAGCAGCCGATTATTGATGGGTTTTTCCTAATGCATTATTAAACATTCATCATTACATTGCATCTACCAAAACGCGGAGCATTCCCATTATATGAAGCATTACGCTATAAAAAATTCAAACATGCATGAGTATAAGCCAATTGTGTCCACCTGTGGTAACCAGATTATTATACGCTCACATTTGATTTATCTCTACAACAAGCCTAGGGTAATTCTATTATGTTTCCCCATCAGAGTTTGTTTTGATTCACCACCAGTCAGGTCTTTGGTATTTCTCCATTTCCCCAGTGAGTTTGTGATATGTGCGTGTCTTTGCAAGCCTTTGGTTATTTTATCCATGTTTACTTTGCCGTTAGAGTGTGAGTAAGAGTCAGTGTATAACCTTTCTTGCTTCTCAAGTGTTTGAGTATCTATACTTGGTGTGTGGTAATTCAGATAATTGCCGCTCTTGAAGAATTACACACCGCCTTTAGCCTAAGGGATTTTGTAGTTCTTGCTTATTTGTGACTTACCGAAAGTACAACATGTTTTGTCAATCCTTGTTAGATTCTGCTTTGACCAGTCTCTTTCTCTTGTAGAGTTCACCTCCGATATGTGCTCTTTGAAGGTCCTGCGTAGTTGGTTCCTTGTTTTGGTCTATCTGCATTAGTCGGGTCCTCCTTTCGTTAGCCTAGCTAACTTTTCATGTTCAGAGCCTTTTAGTGTCTCTTCAAAGTCCAGTTGTCTGGCGTACTTGTTTAGGCGAATACGTCCTTTTTGTTGGGGTTTTCTTTGGTTAGTCTCATTCTTGTGGTCACTACCAACTCCAAACATTTTTTTCTTGATGCTCAATTTCGCTCTTGTGTGTCTAACTTTGACCAGGCATGCATATCTTTACCATTTGTTAAAATCCCGCTTCGGCTGGTATCCTTTGTTAAAATCCCGCTTTGGCTGGTATCATTTGTCAAAATCCATCTTCGGATGGTATCCTTTGTTAAAATCCCGCTTCGGCTGGTATCCTTTATTAAAATCCCACTTCGGCTGGTATCATTTGTCAAAATCCATCTTCGGATGGTATCCTTTATTAAAATCCCGCTTCGGCTGGTATCCTTTGTTAAAATCCCGCTTCGGCTGGTGTCATTTCTTTTAAATACACCTTCGACTGGTATCATTTGTCAAGAGTCCCATTCGTTTGGTCTCTTCCCTTAGTAAGTTCGCCTTTGATTGGTGTTCCTTCGTAAGAGCTTTCTTCGTTGTGTCTCTTTCTTACGTATCCGATACCGACCACAGATATGTATTTTTGATACTTGTTTCATATGTCTGCTACCAATCACAGACATGTGTACTTGATATCTTTGTAAGAGCTTTCTTCGGTCTGTCTCTTTCTTACTTATCCGATACCGATCACGGATATGTATCTTTGATATCTCTTTCTTACGTATCCGATACTGACCACGGATATGTATTTTTGATACCTTTTTCATATGTCAGCTACCAACCCCAGACATGTGTTCTTGTATCTTTGATATCTCTTTCTTACGTATCTGATACCGACCACGGATATGTATCTTTGATGTCTCCTTCTTATGTATCTGATACCGACCACTGATATGTCTCATTGATATCTCTTTCTTACATATCTGATACCGACCATGGATATGTATCTTTGATATCTCTTTCTTACGTATCTGATACCGACCACAGATATTAATCTTTGATATCTCTTTCTTACGTATCCGATACCGACCATAGATATGTATTTTTGATACCTTTTTCGTATGTCTGCTACCAACCCCAGACATGTGCTCTTGTATCTTTGATATCTCTTTCTTACGTATCTGATACCGACCACGAATATGTATCTTTGATGTCTCCTTCCTACGTATCTGATACCGACCACAGATATGTATCATTGATATCTCTTTCTTACGTATCTGATACCGACCACGGATATGTATCTTTGATATCTCTTTCTTATGTATCTGATACCGACCACAGATATGTATCTTTGATATCTCTTTCTTACGTATCCGATACCGACCACAGATATGTATTTTTGATACCTGTTTCGTATGTCTGCTACCAACCCTAGACATGTGTTCTTGTATCTTTGATGTCTCTTTCTTACATATCTGATACCGACCACGGATATGTATCATTGATATCTCTTTCTTACGTATCTAATACCGACCACGGATATGTATCTTTGATATCTCTTTCTTACGTATCTGATACCCACCACGGATATGTATCTTTGATATCTCTCTCGTACATATCCGATACCGACCATGGATATGTATTTTTTATATCTCTTTCTTACTTATCCGATACCGACCACGGATATGTATTTTTGATACTTGTTTCATATGTCTGCTACCAATCCCAGACATGTGTTCTTGATATCTTTATAAGAGCTTTCTTCGGTCTGTCTCTTTCTTGCGTATCCGATACCCACCACGGATATGTATCTTTTCTATCTCTTTCTTACGTATCCGATACTGACCACGGATATGTATTTTTGATGCCTTTTCCATATGTCTGCTACCAACTCCAGACATGTGTTATTGATATCTTCTCTGTCCCTTTTGTGCGTATCCGCTACTAACCCCAGATATGTATCTTTTCTATCTCTTGCATACGTATCCGCTACCGACCCCGGATATGTGCCTCTGATACCTTTTTTTTGTATGTCTGCTACAGACTTCAGGCATATACCTTCTGATATCTTTCTTACAGGTGTTTGTTATTAAACCCCAACAAGTGTTCCTCGATAACCAAGTTATTCTTCTGTGTGTCAAACTCTAGTTAAACATACATCTAACCCTGATAACCTCTTTTACCTGAAAAAAATATATATAAATAGAAAATATAGAAAACCAAAATATAATGTATACCTGACTGGCTTCGGAGCGCAAATTTTCGGGTTCCTTTAGTATTTAATCTTCTTCCACCCTGAAAGTTCGAAAGGCTGATGCCAATCTCACCTTCAGGTTGAAGGCGATTAAATAGGGGCAGCTGTTGCACCCTAAAATTTGCCCTCCTAAATTTCTTCTATCTAGCTTAGATTCTTGCATTCATCTATATACATTCCATTAGGTCACTAACATAGCATGCACTGCATTCAATAAAGCTCTTGAGGTTCAAAGTTCAGTGGTTGTGCAATATTAGGGTTTCATAGTGGTTAAGGCGTTTGTGTCCAATAAAGGCTGATTTCTTATTCAAGCAGTAAGGGGTAGAATTAGGGTTGTAATCTGTGTCACTGAGAATTTTTGTCTTCGTCAAGCTACGAGGCTATCAGAGTTTATTTTCCTATGTGCGATCGAAGCCAGGTTTTTGACAATTGTGCTTTAATCGAGTTCTTCTCCAAGGATTATGGTTTAAGGTTGCCACTTATGGCTATCTGGAGTCTACTTCCTTCAGAATTAAGGACCTCCATCTGTCACCCCTTCTTGGATTTTCTTACCAAGACTGAACTTTCATCTGAAGCTTTCTCTTAAGTGACGATTATTTGGTTATTTCCTAAAAAGTGTGAACTTTAGTATAAACATTTGTGTGAATCATCTGCTCCTATTTTATGGGATAAAGGTTTTGTTGAGAGTATTGATGCCATTGGGATATTATTAGGATTATCTTTCATAATCCAAAGGTACATTCGTTGTTGGAGCTCCTAGAGGTTGATTATCATTGATACGGTGGAATAATCTATTCCCTATTTCACCAATTAGGGATCTGCATATCGGGGTTCAAGGGTGTCTTTCCTATCAACTTTACCTTAAGATGCAAGATTTTAGGGGTAGGTGATGCAAGCGTAAATTAGGGTTTCTAATCCTTGGTGTTCAGATTTGATTTGGTTTTCATTTGAGGTGTTCTCTTCATTGTAATCAAGTTGTGGCCATATTGGTCATATTTCTTTCTGTATTCCCATGTTCTACGAGGTTATCTAAGGGCTCCTAAACCAGACATTTGTTATCTCCTTGTGTTCAACATCATCCATTGATTAGAGTTTATTTCTCTAAATCATGTACCATTCAAGAGAGGTTTCTCTATGAAGTTGTGATTATCAAGCAAGGCTATAATCAAGGGATAACGTCCATGAATAATGAGGGTTTCAACTGATATATCTTTGGCAAATAAGAAGGAAGACATTGCTTGAATATCTAGTTATGTGGGAAACAATCCTATTCTAGAGAAGAAGATTCAGCTAGACCTTCTTCATGAATTAGGGTGTGTATGCCTTATAATGCAAAGCTCTTCGTCTGGTCGATTGGCTTACCTGAAGTATAATCTATTTTCTTTGGATTTCACTTAAATGCTTTAAGATCAAAATTTAAAAAGCTTTGTATGGAAGATTAGGGTTTTTGAGCTAAGAACGTGCAGACGTCTAAGTGTGAATTCATTCAAGTTGATTTAAGGAAACCTATATTCGTTCATTTGAAGATATTCAAGCAAGGGAGTTTATCCAAATTGATAGAATGCGAGACATTGGGATTTCACAAACACAAGGTCAATGAAGGACTTGGGATATCAAAAAGAAAGGAAGACACTTCTTTCTCGGGAAACTCAAAATCAAATGAAAAGAAGGTAATTTGCGCCCTTGATAATTTGTCATTTGGATTCAAGAGGTCCCAAAGTTACATTTGTATGCAAGGTCATACTGCATTAACTTGGTTTCAATAGAATTTACAAGCGCAAAGCCATTTACAGTTCACACTATAACATTCAAGTACCATTCACCATTTCAAAAATTCTTCATTCCATATTCAACAAAAATTCCAACAAGTTCATTCATTACAAATTCACCATAAGTCATTCCAATTTCAAATTCTATACACCATTTTTGTCGATTCAATTAAATACAGAACACCATTACAAAACCATAAAAAAAAACTACATTCACAAAATAATTGCATGAAAAATTATAATCCAATCTCTAAATCCTTCTTCATGCGAATTTTGTATTCCAATCTCCATGCTGAGATCTTGATTATCCTTCAACACCGTGCTACACTTATCCCTAACATTAGCTCTCCATCTACATGTATTCTTCAAGCTTCACGCTTCGAGTTTCAACCTGTACTAATAAACCTAATTCAGCCAACCAACTCAGAAAAAGCCAAAAGTTCTTACAAAATTGGTATTGCGCCTGATTCTGTAAATGCAGCTTACATATTTTCCAAAAAAGATCTTTCTCGGCCTGCTATACAGATTCCCCATGCAAGCAAAGCTGTTGTAGCTGTCCGGTTATGTCCTATATTTTTCAAGGGAACAGACTCAGATGGATTATTTAAGCTCCCATATCGCATTGTATTTGTTGTTGCCACACTGAATTCATTAAACATTTATGACACTGAGAGCACTTCTCCAATAACTGTATTTGTTGGTCTTCACTATGCCCGCATTCTCCTCGCAAGATGGCTTCTGCTCATTGGTGGAGTTGGAATACGGTGAACTTGGATCACCTTACTGTTTATCAAAAGGAAATGTCTTAGACTAGGATAGTAAAAACACCCTGCAACAGCCAACAAAAAACAAAACTAATTTCTAAAAGCAAACAGTCCAACTAACTACCAACCTGCAACAAAACCAACTTCTAAACTTGATTTTCTAACCAATTAAAGCTAGCAGATTTTCTCTATTTTCTAACAGCTCTAAAAAATTCCAACTGAATTCAACCACACTCACCATGACGAAGAAAATCATTCCAAACCTACATTACCAGTTCAACCCTGCATTACGAGAACAACAATGGCCCTGCATTACCAGTTCAGTCCTGCATTACTAGAAAAACAATGGCCCTGCATTACCAGTTCAGCCCTGTATTCAATTAATAAAACCAAACAAAAAAAAACTAACAGAAAACTCAAACGGAATTTCTAACAGTTTCAGCGAGCTTTTAATTTTCTTTTCATAACCAAATACCAAACTAACTCTCACTGTATAACAGAGTTTCTAACAAAATCCAAAACAAAAAAATAGCCAACTCTTTACTTCCTAACCTCTTAACCAACCCATAAAAAATTAACCTAACTAACTTTTCTTAGCCTATAACTGAATCCTAACCGAAAATAACTAACAGGTACAACTTATCATAACAAAATTTGGAAGCTGATAACTAACTTAACATCCAATGGCCAAGACAGTTTCAATCGGTAATCGACTTCTCTCCATTCAGAAGTAGCTATATAACAGAAGAAGAGGGGAGAATTAAGGGGATTCACAATTGAACAAACCAAAAAAGTCAGAAAAAATCAGGAATAGAGAAACTCACCAAAAAAAACTATTCAATTCACTCCCCCTGCATAATCTCCAAAAGAAATCCTTCATCATCTTCAACCTCTTTCATTCTACTTCAATCATTGTTTCAGAACAATCACCACAAAAATTTCCTTGCTCTCTCTCGGAAACCTCCACCTTCATCTTCAATCTTCAAAAAGGACTTCACCTCATCTTGATTTTCTTATCAATCTTCGAGTACACAGCATCATTTTATGCAACCACAACTGCTTGATTATTCATCATCACCATCGATATCTTTATCAACGTGTTAATCAACCTTCAACAAAAACAAATCTTTAAGGCATTATCATCTTCAGTTCTCGTTATTCAAGCATCTTCAACAACTAAGTATGCAGCAAGAAACCGTCACACCTATAATACCAAGACTTCACATTCTCTGCATCAAAATCAACAACAACGTTGGTACACAGGAAACATAAAGAGAAGAAACTCAGGGGAAGAAGGATATACAATTCACAGAGAAGAAAACAAGAGAAAACTCACCAGAATGCGATTCTTGAGGAGTCACTTCAACTTCTATCATTTGATCTTCATCGCAACCTCCCATATTCAATCCTTCGGCCTTCTCTCTCTGCATGGCTTTAACCACCATCAACAATCTTCATCAATTCAGAGCAACCTGCAATCACCCTTATCATTCATCATCTTAATCAACAAAGCTCGTACGTACAACAACACACATACCCGGAGATAAGAAGAACAAAAGGAGAATCAAATCGATTGAAAATAAGAAGAGAATCAGAAGAGATTACCTTGTTTTATCGACCATTGTGTCGAGGTTTTCCTTTCAATTTCATAGTTGTTTGAATCTGGTTCGGAGAAGATGAGAATAACGAACGTCTTGAACGTTCATGGAAACGTTGTGGATGTCTTGATCGAAGAAGAAGATAGCAAAGAGATGAGAGACAAAGGCATGGCGGCTTCCGGAAGGGTCACGACGGCGGTTGATTAAGAGCTAATCGAAGGAGAAGGCTAGGGATTCGACCACCGCGACTGAAGAAGAAGATGCCATGAGTTGAACTAAACGCTATATCGTTCTTTTTCCATAATTTCATTTATTGTTTATTTTTACTTTTTTATTAATCGATTTTATAACATGGTTGTTGATAATTGGATCAAGGGTGGACCGGGCCATTGACTCCTCTTGTCCCATCCTATATTTTTCTTTGACATATAAGCATAACAAAAAACTTATGGACTTAATCTGTTGGGCCTTAGCGCCACTTGCTGAGCTCACCATCTAATTGAGACCTTGCACATCTTGGCTCTCTTAGTCTTCTTTTCATCACCTTTTAGTTTTTACTTTCTTTTCCATAATTTTGTAATAGAAATACATGACAAAACAATAAAAAGATGTTAATATAACTCTTTGGAATTTATTTTTAGAATTTTGATTAGGGTTTTACTATCATTTTTATGTTTGCTAATCGTTTGGTTTCCATTGTTGTTGAGAGCTTATGACAGTATTGAGGCAAATCTTATGTGATATGGGTGCTTGGAGATTAATTCATTTGATCAACTTGTGTGAAGCGACTTCTGTAGAGTTTTCTTATTGCTTGCATGCTTTTGAAGAGGCAACAAACCTTCTCCATTAGTTAAGATTTTGTGATAGAATATTGATGCAACTTTCACGATGGGAAGTGTTTGGAGATTAATTTTCGATCATTCGTGCGGAGCAGCTTCTGTAGAGCTTTCTTAATCGCTTGTGTGGTTTTTAAGAGGCAACAGACCTTCTCCGTTCAGTATCATCGCAATCTCATTTCTTCCTCATTTTCGCACTTTATTGCCTCCTAGAGATCATGTAAAGTATAATAACATTAGGTAGATTTCCCTCAAAGTTCTAACCTTAGGACCACCTTTGTATGATAACTTTAGATTTAGAAATAGGCTAGTCTCCCCTTGACTTTTCTTTCCACTCTTTGCATATGCATGTAAAACTAAAACTTCTTTTCTTTCTAACTTCAAAAATACTTAAAAAAATTACTGACGAGAAACGTGCCTTTGTTGAACATGGGAGATGATAAGCGGGTCTCTTCTCGATCTTATCGTTTTTACATTCTAAGCCTTGGCATGGTTCAAGTCTCAAAGACTCATTTCATGAATAAGTAGAAAAATGGCTAATATCTCTCTCTTGAGATTAACTAGCTATTATCCACAAGCAAAAACACCAACAAATACAAACTCTTTTGCCTACAGGCCTTCCTTTCAAAAAAAACTTTTTTTCAAAAGAACATATTAATTCACTTCTGTGCTTACGCGTAAATCTCCAAAGGTCGAGTTGCGATAGAAGGCGAAATTAATATCGTTCATTAAAAACACAAACAAATTCAAACCTTTTTGTGCGCCCAAGCACTTTTTCTCCAAACTTTTTTCCGAAAGAGCATGTTAAATCACTTTTGTGCTGACGCGTAAGTCTCCAAAGGTCGAGTTGCGGCAGAAGGCGAAATTAATATTGTTCATTAAAAAAATACAAACCAACAAAAACATATGGGCCGAACTACGACTGCTCTGATTCCTTAAATTGGATACGTAGGCATCGGGGTAGGGCCCGAACGAGCATAACTTTTATTTTCCCTACATTCTTTTATCTTTCCTTTTGCATGCATTCTCCCTCCAGTAGTATAGTAAACAGTAAGCATAGATTGAACACACCCATAAGATAGATAATAAGAGTGGATACCGTAGAGTACTACGGGCGTTTGTGGTGCTAATACCTTCCCTTCGCGTAACAGACTCCCTTACCCTTATCTCGCGGTCGCAAGATCGTGACTTCTCCCTTCTCAGGTTTTCTCAATGTTTACCTTTCCATACATGTGGGATAAAAGACGTTCGATGGCGACTTCATTGTTTGATGATTTTCAGCCGGTTGTTTCACCCAGCATTAGTGTTCATGAGAAAAAGATATGAAAATATTAAAAAGATTCAAAAGAATCATAGTGGCTTTTCCTACTCACAATCTGGATCAAATTGATCAGATGCACACGTTTGTTAATGGTCTTAGAATTAAGACAAAGCAGCTAATTAACACAATAACTGGTGGCTTGTCTAATTTTTCAACAAAGTGATCAACAACAAATGAGTTTAATCAGAAAAGGAATGCTTAACAACAGGGTCAGGGTCAATATCAGAACCAATACCAACAATAGAAACAACAACAAGCTCCTAAGAAGACAGATTGGCAGTTAGCCATTGATAAGATGACATCTTAAAACTTTCAGGTTCACACGAATTCCCTCCAAACTTCATCATTTCACACGCTTGAACATTCCATTTAATTCCTTATAAATAGAGGGTCGTCCCTCATTCATTTCCTGAAGCTTGAACAACCAGAATCACCCTGCCAAACTTGCTCCATAACTCAATTTTCTGTAACTTCGAAATCAGTGTTCAAGCCTTTTTCAATCCAATTTTTCCATCAATTCCCTTGATCTTCCCTGAAGCTAACCATACAATTACCTTCAAGAATCATGCCCTATATTGACCCATAGAAGTCCAGTTTCAGAGCTCTGGAACTCAACTTCAATAGGTAGATTTCTCCATCAATTCTTCAAATATTTAATATTATTGTGAAGCTCTCATTGCCCTGGTTCTAGTCGCAACACTTGCTTTTATCTGGAAACATGTTTTGACCATGAAATTTCAAATCCCTTTTCAAAACTTTCCTTCCAAATTACTTGAGCTACATTTTATATAAATTTATCGCGAGGGTGTGGTTGTCTTCGTCTTAAAGAGAAGAAGCGAATGGCATAGGTCTGAGCTTCTGATTTTACAGTTTGAAAGACCTGTAATTCACGTTGGCTGGAGGTTGAAGATGACCAACGTGTCATCTTCCAACCAATAATGGCGTGCCACTTGTTTTTTTTTTAAATTTGATTTTATATTTGATTCTATGCTTTATTCACTAATGACCACGATATGCACAGCGCGCCAGATCCCTTGGATTTGATTACTAACGCGTTTTGACTCTAATCCAATGGTCCACATATTTTTGACTTTATTTTTCTTTTCTGATTTTTATAATTAATTGTTTTTAAATTTCAAAAAAATCATAGAAAATTCATTTTAAGTCCAAAAAATCTGAAAAAATTATGAAAAATATTTTTGATTTTTCTCTTTCAAATTTTTATTTTTTCACAATTTTATTGTGTTTT